AAAGGTGATGATAGTAATGATATTATGAGCAGTGTATTAGAAGAGATGAGACAAGAACAGGAAAAGTTGATTGAAGAGAAACAGATTATTACTGGTTAGTGTATCATCAGTACATAATATTAGATGAGAGAATATTTTATTAATGTATAGAGGATTATGAGAAACTGAAACTCAAAGTTGCCGATAATGAAGTATTTATAACTGAAATATTGGAAGAGAAGACACAAGTAGAGGAGAAGAAACAGATTATTACTGGTCAGTATATAATCAATACATACATTGTAGATGAGAGAATATTCTGTTATTGTAGAAGGTTACGAGAAACTTAAAGTCAAGGTTGCTGATATGGAGGAGGAGAAGGAACAATATCTCAAAGAGAAGCAGATCATTATTGGTTAGTTAACTATACACACAGCATGTATTAGATGAGAGAATATGTTTATTGTGTAGATGACAATCAAAATCTCATTTCTGAGAAAGACAAAGTAATAGCCAAACTGACATCACAAGTAGAGGAAGAATCACAGAATGAGAAACAGATCATTACTGGTTAGTGTATCATCATCAATCAATAATAATTATTAATATTCCATTAATTTATAGACCTTAGAGCTAAAGTGTTTGATAATGAATTGTATACAACCAAACTAATGAAGGAGAAGTCACAACTACAGGAGAGAGTCACATCCTTAGAGGAACAATCCATCAAAGAGACTAGTTCCATTGGACTACAATTTAATTACCTGATCCCCTCAATGGGTAAATTATTCATGTACATGTAGTCATGTACACATGTGAATGATTGTGTGTGGTATTAGATATGATGTGTCTGTATTGTTTCAGATTCACTAGACTCTAGTGTCATTATAGCTGGACAGAAGCTCTTTATCCTACAAGGAGACAGGTCTCACTCACTCCAGTGGGAGAAGTATGGATTCAGATTAGAGTGTCCTCAAGGAGCAGTGTCCAAGGATACTGAAGTAGCTGTTACTGCACTAGCTGGTGGTAATTTCAAGGTACCCAAAGGTACTGTGCTAGTGAGTGCAGTATATGCAATATCAGTATCTAAGGCACTATTAAAACCACTGGTAATAGAGCTACAACATTGTGTGGATCTAAGGAACACTAGTCAGACTGGTTGCCTCAAGTTTGTGAGAGCTCCACTGAAGTCTCCCAATGCTTACCAGTTCAGTATAGTTGAAGGAGGATCCTTCAGTGTAGGGAACAGATATGGTTCTATTGAACGTGACAAATTCTGTGCCTTTGGTATTGGACATGTTGGTAATGGAGACACTTCTAATGGAGGTGGGAATGGATCAGAGAATGATACACAAACTCAAGGTATACATAGTGTTTGTATTAATGTTTACTGTTGATGTGTTTGTATGATGTATAGGAACAAATGATGATAGTGAGGAGGAGACTAATGGAGACACACCTAATGATAG